CTAAGGTGCACAGATCACGAGGTCAGGAGTTCAAGACTAGCCTGGCCAATATGGGGAACCCCCATCTCTACTAAAAATATAAAAAATTAGCCAAGCGCGGTGGTGCATGGCTGTTATCCCAGTTACTCTGAGGCAGAGTATTGCTTGAATCTGGAAAGCAGAGGTTGCTGTAAGCCAAGATCACACCACTGCACTCCAGTCTGGGTGACAGAGCAAGACTCCCATCTCAAAAAATAATAATAAAAGGAAAAGAAAGAAATAGGGTAATATATGTAATATAAAATGCACTGTAAAGAAATCTGTGTCATGTAAAATGAAGTTAAAAACATTGATCCAGGCTGGGTGCAATGGCTCACACCTGTAATCCCAGCACTTTGGGAGACCAAGATGAGTGCATTGCTTGAATCCAGGAGTTTGAGACCAGCCTGGCCAAGGTGGTGAAACCCCCGTCTCGACTGAAAATACAAAAATTAGCCAAGTGTGGTGACACGCACCTGTAAGCCCCCTACTCGGGAGGCTGAGGCAGGAGAATCACTTGAACCCAGGAGGCAGAGGTTGCAGTGAGCTGAGATAGCACCACTGCACTCCAGCCTGGGTGACAGACTCTGTCTCAAAAAAAAAGCATTTCTAACAACCAGAACTGATCCTATCTTCTCTACACCTGAAGGTTCTCGTCTACAAAATAGGCGCAATGTCACTTGCTACCCACCTCACAGGATGGTGAGGAATATGGTTTCATGTGGGTATAAAGGGAAAAGCCCTTTTCAAAATTCAAAATGTTTCTATTTTGATACATTAACTTTTGAGTAAGTGATACAGACATTTATCCTGCCTCTGTGAATTCAAGGAAAATATGTGATCTCAAAGAGAAGAGGGAACCAGAGAAATATACCTATGAAGTGGGTCTGCTTTGCACAAGTTTCGAAAATTGTGGCAAAATACACATAACGTAAAATTCACTTTATTCTATTTAACAGCATTTAATACATTCATAGTGTCGTGCAACCGTCACCTCTAGCTCATTTCAGAAATTTTCTTCACTCCCCAGAAGGAAATCCTATACAAATTAAGCAGTCATTCCTCATTCTCCCCTCCCCCAGCCCCTGGAGACCTTTAATCTGCTTTCTGTCTCTATGGATTTGCCTACACTGGACATTTCATAGTACTGGAAGCACATAATAGGCGGTCTTTTGTGTTTGACTTGTTTTACTTAATAGTCTAACGTTCCCAAGGTTTGCCGTGTTGTAGCATGTACATTTTACTCAATTTTAAACCTAATATTCTTTAAGCCACATATTCAAAATACACAGCTTGCAAAAATGATAACCTAGCATTTATTCAGCATTTATTCTGTGCCAGGCACTGAGTACTTTATATAGGTGATCTCACACAATCCTCATCAAATAAGTAGTCTTATCTCCATTTTATGGATGAGAATGGTAAAATTCAGAAACATTAAATGACTTGTCCAAGATCACATGGCAATTAAGTGGCTAAGAATCAAAGCTGGTTTCCCAGAATCCAGAGCTGTTGCTGTTAATCATCACATTTGGTATCTGCACAGCCCAAGAGGACCAAGCCGCAAAATGCTGGAGTGTGGCCAGGTAGCCAATTCTGGAGACCCCAGGAAGCTCTGAGAAGGTTTACAGTGGAGGGCATCATACAGAAACCTGGATCACCTCAAATCTTCCAAGTTGTATCCTGACTGGCAATCAACTGGGAGCTGGACTGGGGCGCAGATGCCCCAAGCATGGACGCTGGGACTGCCAGGTGATGCCTCACATTCCCACATGTCACTGTCCTCTGATTGAACAAGGCAGGATAGAGTGCAACCACTGGACAGCGTAAATGCTCTAGTCCCATTTCCAGTGATCCTCAGATGTCTAGGCTTGGCTGAGCATATAAAAACTTGGTCCTGGAAAAGTGTCCTGTCTTTGGCTAAGTACCCTGGCAGCTTCCTGTGTGTTGCACAAACACAGACACTAAAAAGTGGAAGACTAGAGCAATAGACCTAACAATGTGACATAAAGAAATGTATAAAGCCCTAATAGTTGTGAGAATTTTAGGGGCTTCAAGTGGGGACTCAGCCAGTGTTCAACAGGACTGTTGGGAACAACAAAGGGGATTGATGTTTTGATACATGAGAAATTGACACTAAATGTTCAGTGGTAAGTGAAGATCTGCAAACATCCCTTTTCTCTGCTGGTGCTGGATTCATAGGAGAGATAACCCATAATCTTGTTATTCTTTAATCCACCTGACTCTAATGAATTCAAATGATATTGACAGAAACACGGTACAGATTGAGGATCCCTTAACTGAAATGCTTGGGACCGAAAGTGTTTCAGATGTTGGACTTTTTTGAATTTTAGAACATTTGTATATACATAATGAGATATCTTGAGAATGGGACCCAAGGCTAAACACGAAATTCATTTATATTTCATTTTATCTTATACACATAGCTCAAAAGTAATCTTATAAATTATATTAAATAATTTTGTATATGAAACAAAGTTTTGACATGACCTGTCACATGAGGTCAGATGTGAAATTTTCCACTTGTGTCAGGGCTCAGAAACTTTTGAAGTTTGGAGCATTTTGGACTTTGGATTCTTAAATCAGAGGTGCTCAATCTGTATTATGTGTAAAGCACATGGAAAGAAAGAAAAGGGATCACTGTGTGAATTCTGCCTCCTCTTCTAAGTAAATGTCGAGAGATCTTGGGTATATCACTCACCTTTTTGCTGATTTCCACCCACAGAACAGGCGTGAGGAAGGGATTAGTGACTGCTCACAGTGCCTGTCTTCCAAGATTGTAGCAATCAAGCTTCTCTCGAGAACATGTTGTTCAAGCATCTCATTGCATGCACTTTTTGATTTGCTGGTAGGGCGGCTGTGTGGAAGGCTGCAAGGGCATGGCAGTCCTGCGTTCATTCACTCTGTGCCCTCAGCACATTCATTTCTTAACTTCCTGGAGACCAGATTTGTACATCCATGAAATAGAAATCACGATTCCTCCTACCCAGCACTGTTGGGAAAATTGAGCACCGTAACTCAATACACAGAGCCTGATGTGGAGGAGGCCTGAGAAATGTCACAAGAGAAAAACACATCTTGATGTGATTTGATGCAGTCTGGCCAAAGTATGATGTAAAGAACTGGTGCAAAAACAAAACAAATTATACACCATGGGCACCAGTTTCTGAACTAGTAGCAGAAAGGTTGGGGAGGAGAGGTTGGCACAATGTGAAGTGGGAAGAAAAACAGAAATATGTTGGTTTCAATGGCATTGCCCTGAGTAAGTTGCTTTCTTTAAGTGGGAAAAAAAGACTTCAGTGGCTAGCATGTTTAGCTCACCTGATTATGGCTTACCCCCAGCATTTATTTCTAAAAGCATAATTGATTGAAGGGCATTGATTTGTGAGAAACTAATGTCCTAATTCTGTGAGCATCAAGCAAAAATGAAGTATTTCACTTAAAGCATGACCTGTAATTATCTTCCATTTTGTATATTGATCTTTGAGTGGCAAAATCCAACTTTCATTCTCATTTCCATGACATCTGCTGAAGCCAGGAGAAAATGATGGAAAGAAGTTGGGATTTGGATTGAAACCATCTGGGTTTGAATTCAGGCTCCAGCATTTACTCTGTGTGACTTGAATAAACCACTTAAATGCCATAATGGCTTACTCTGAGCCACAGTTTCTTCATCTGTGAAATGGGGACAATAGTATGCCTCTCAGGGTTATTTTAGGGCTCAAATGAGGAAAGGGATGCTCAAGTTCAGTCTTTAAAGCAGCGTTCACCCTGAGGAGTCCCTGAGCCCATCACTCAATTTGAGGCCCAGCAGCCAGGGCAGCTAGGGGTGGTGGACAGGAGGGAGTAATGGGGGGCATGGCAAGAAGCAGAACTTGGTACAGTAGTTTTTCAGTTGTCCAAAAATATATTCTTTTCAGAATTGTTCCCCGGCACTGTGTGTGTGTATGTGTGTGCAAATGTGTGTGTATGTTCTGAAGTGGATGAAATTTGTCAACAAAATCTTTACTAAAAATGAAACTTCTGCACATCTAACTGCAGGATTTTGCAAAATAAAACCGAAGATATGTTGCCTGTCTCCAGGCATATCCTAGGGGATTAATTTGTCACTCTTCAAAAACAATTCTTTGGAGGAATATCTGCTTTGATTCTCTATTCTCACATTAATTAGTAGTAGAAGAAACATCGCACACACTTGGTAGAGGAGGAATTAGGAGAAACAAATTTGCCACCCCTCTCAAAGGGGAGAAGCAACAAGGAGAGGGCAGCCGGGCACAACCTTCAGCACCATCTGGAGGGGAGGGGAGCACAGCACTGGCTGAAGTCACCAGCACTCTCACTGGCTGCACAAGGATGATCAGGCGTCGTTATTAGCTAGAGAAGCTCTGTAGGCTGAGTTCAGCAAAAAATACGTTTTTTTTAAGCCTAAGTTCCAAGGGCAAATGCTTCTGAGAATAAAATGAAGACATAGTTGATTGATTTTTTTTTAGCAACTATGGGGGAAGTTGATATTGGAACCAAATTCCAAATCAGAATTGGAGATTATTGTTGAGGTCAAACATTGAATCCTACCTCTACTTTTGATAATTGTCTGATTGATTTTTTTCTGATCAAAATATTTATCTGAATATATTTTTGATTCAGATTTGTGTTTGCTGTGATGAATGTGTAATAGAATTTTTTTTGGAAAATTTAGAGTTGCCCCTATCATTTTGTGTTGGTCAAATGCAAATTATTTTCTTTTCAAACATTTAGACATTTCCTTTTTTTTTTTTTCTTTTCTTTTTGAGACAGGGCTTCACTCTTCCACCCAGCCTGAAGTGGCAAAATCATAGCTCACTGCAACTTAGAACTCCTGAGCTGGGACTCCAGGCATGGGCCACCATGCCTAGCTAATTTTTTAAATTTTGTAGAAATGAGGTTCTTGCTATATTGCCCAGGCTGGTCTGGAACTCCTGGCCTCAAGTGATCCTTCCTTCTCGGCTTCCCAAAGTGCTGGGATCTTATTTCATCTTTAAAAATAATCTAAGTAACACCCAATTAACAGGATGTGTTTTACCGGTTGGAGAAAGTGTTTCTGTCACTGAATTGGGCAAAGGCCACCTCTGCAAGGCAGTCCCTCCTTCATTGTCCACGTGAGCAGAGATACAGAAGGCGGGGTATGGACCCAACAGCCCGGTGTCCCCCACCTCCTCTGGGGCCCCCACCACGCAGTTCCAGAAGCCGTCTCCATGGCCTGCTTGTTTAAGGTAATTACAACATGTACTTCCTCCCTGCTGCTTCTGCTGAGGCAGAAAATACTTCATCATTTACTTCAGTCATGAGAATAAAGCCAAAATATCTGGAACATAAACACCATTTTTTCTTTGCATTCAAAGGCCAAGCTCAGGGTGAGTTTGTGAATAATAAACGCAAGTTGGCAATCAAGCTAATAAGTATGAAATTGCTGGGGAGAGAAGTCCTTCTCGAGCTGGGAGCTGAGGGGGTACCCAGGGCTTTTTGTTCCCCTGTTGGTAAATAACAGCCCTTTATTTACACACAGTTGTTTCGGCTTCAAAAGATATTCAAAGCCCGGCTAGTTTCTGCGGTTGCTTTACATGGAAAGGAATATATATGTGAATTTTTAAAGAGATTGAGCCCCAATTAAATCTATGCTGCCCGGAGAGAGTTGCCGGCCAGTCAGCCTGAGATCCAAGGGGGAAAAGAGGCGCATGTGATTAGCAGGCAAGCCAGGGCTGTAAACATAGGCGCTTTCTTTCTGAAATGGGAATTGACCGCAAGAAAGTATTCATCGGCAGCCTCGAGCTTAGAGAAATTCCAGGGCCAGGCGCCTTTTGGTTTAAGAACAGAGCTTTGAACTCTCCATTTCAAAAACTGAATTTCTCCTCCCCCTGGTTAGGAAAAGCATCCGATGCCGAGCGTCTCCATTCAAGCTCTCCAAACTTTCAGCGTTTTTTCATTTTAAGCTTGTAGCCATACAAACCTCTGGTAATGAGCTCCCTGCCCGAGACAAGTTCTGCATCCAATTTGTGTGCCGGCCCGGTGCAACGGTTTACAAGTCTGAGAGTCCGAGGGAGGGGAACCCAAAGGAAATCTCCAGAAAGGAATGAAGAGCTATCATGGAAATCTTTATTTATGTGAAGAGAAAGAGCTAAAACATTACCTCAGAATGCAAGATTACAGCATCAGTCGGATAGAAAGTAAATCTATTCCAGTGGAGAGACATCAGCAACCCATAATCCCTCCTCAAAGCCCTTTTGTTATTTTAATGTCTGACAAATTATGCTTTTTTTTTTAAAGAAGAAAAACACTTAGATTTGAGAGGTTTCCTTTGCTCCCGTAAAAGTAATTTCACTGCCTAAAAGTTTTAATTTTCTGTAACTCAGTCCTTACTGTGCTGGCCGAGCATACGCACAGGACCAAGGTAATTTTCAGCTTCAATAGAATTGGGCACAAAGTGACCACCAGGCTAGGCCTCAAGTTGCTATGGCAACAGTATTTCTAAAAAGTACTTAAGTTACATGGGGCATTTTTGTTTGCTAATTTAAAATTTTGCCTTTATAGTTTTTTTAAACAGATGCATATGGATGAGTACATTGCAATATTGTTTTCTTCCTCTTTATTTCAGGCATATCATAGGGATCCTGAGGACGTATCTTATAAATGACTTTGTAGAGAATTCACTAAGAAATACAAAAAGAGTCAAAGAAATTTGAACAAATGACAAAAAAATGAAAACCAAATTCAACGTGTTTCTTTCTAGAAGCTTTTCAGTGGGAAATTCTCTCGGGAGATTCATGAACAGGGGCCAGGCCTGGAAGAGCTGGGGCTTCCGTGTGCCAGACCCTGGCTTGTGCAGAGATGTAAAGATGAGAGTTCACATCATGCTCAGGCCACGGGCTCTGTCAGGTAAAAAGCAAACAAACATCCTTGCCCTCATGGAGCAAAAATGTGAGGGAGTCACACGAAAGCCACAGTAAATTATCAGATAGATAGATCCATGGATGGATGAATGGCTAGATAGATGAATAAATAGACAGATAGATGAGAAAGAGAGAGAGATGATAGAGACAGATACATAGATAGACACATAGATGGGTGGATGGATGGCTAGATTGATTGATAGATGATAGATGGATGATAGATAGGCAGACAGACAGACAGATGGTAGAGAGATAGAGCTGGATTGATGAATGATGATGATAGATAGATACATAGATAGATAACAATAGTGTGTCAGAAGATGACAAGTGCTATGGGGGAAAAAAACAACCAGAGGAGGTGCTCCGAGAGCCAGGGTGGGGTGTACTATAGAACAGGGTGGTCAGAGGGGGCCTCAGAGATTGCAGTCACTTGAGTTCAGGCCCGAAGCAGGGACAAAGTCAGGCTAACAGAGAGAAAACCAAGTGCAAAGCCCTTGATTCAGGAGATCGTGATGAATATTCGTTGTTACCATAATCTGAAAAGCCACAAACCTCAGGGCCTATGAAGTTTGCAAGTTTCTGTGCAGGTTTTGTGGCCTTACACTAAATGGCCTGGACTTCAACGCACAAAGTCTCTGGACTTTGTTTACTTATCTTTCCTCCGAGTCAGCCATCCTCTTTAGTGGGGCAGTTTTCCTTGCCCCAGTAACAGCCCCTTCCTCCTCCTCATGTGTTAGCTGTGAAGTCATGTGATTTAGAAAAACAGATGACCAAAACCTGTTAGATCTGGGTCTGATGAGGGTCTACCATGCAGAAGCACGTCATGTTTATACGCTGCATTTGTGTTTTGCACGTTGTGAAACTCTCCAAGTGGGAGCTCACAGGGGATCCTAGTTGCATTCCTTACACCCAGCCAGCACCTGGCCCACAACGTGGCAGGATAAGACGGCCCACGAATGCATGGGTCAACTTGGAGTACTGGTTTGTCTGTCCAAACGCCTTTTCCCTTCCTTCATGGGTCTCATCACTTGTGGATGCCAGAGAAGTGAGTGTCAGGGTGAATACAGACTTACATTCTTAGGGAGTGTTTATTACCCGAGCATTTTCAAATCTATTACCCCATCTAGATTCTAATACCAACCCTCAGCAGTACACAGGACAAGTGCTATCAGCCTCAATTTATAGCTGGGTTGGCAGATTGGAAGAAGCTAATTGCCTCAGGCCACAGTGAGAGGCAGCCTCTGCAGAGTGGAGAGGTCCTCATTCCAAGTTTGGTGCCCCACTCTCATCACACGTGACCAGGAGCTATCTGCAGAATGGGTAGTGATTAATCAATACTATTAATTCATATTAATTCTAATAATCTGGAAACATGGGATCCCCAGGACAAGCTGAGGTGGCAGAGCCAGAGTCAAGATGTAAGTGACAAGAGTTAACCATACAAAGAGTTAATCTTGTAGGTGAGGCCTGTGTGAAAATGTCTAGAAATGGGTGTTGGGGGCAATACGACTTAGGAGTCGGGGCTCTGAGTGCTGTCTTGGCTTGGCCACCAGCATCCTCTTGGGCGTAGCAGTTCCCCTCTCTGAGCCTGTTTCTTGGTGATGAGAAGAGAGCACTGTCCTCACCTGGTGTCCTCACAGTGTCAGAGGCAAGCAAGGGAATTGCAAAGTCCCAGAGAAAACCCAGAACACAGTGGAATCGCGTCTGCAGTGCGACGCCCTTTCTGTTCTCTTTTATCCCTCATCCCAGGAGCCCAGAGCTTTGGGACATGGACGAGCAGCAGGATCTAGAAAAGTTTAATGGCATTATTCTCACTGAATTTGTTTTGACTTTTTCTTTCTATTTATGGCAAATGCTGATTTTTCATTTCTAGCAGGAATATCAAGACTCTTTTTGAAAATAAATGAATTCAAGTAAACATAGTGAATTACTAAAAGAAAAATTTAAGTGAATAACATTAGCGGTGGAAGTACAGATATTGCAGATTATGAAGGTGGTGTAGAAGTGAGTGGCCTTGGCAAAGCCCTGAGTGAGATGACCTTGAGGGTCCTGCCCCGCTTAGCGTTGGAGAGTGTGATTATGAGCATGAACTATAGAGCTACATTCCAGGCTCCTCCCCTTACATAGATGGATAACTGAATCTCTCTGTGCCTCCGTTTCCTTAACAGTAAAATGGAAATAATAGCACATTTTCCTTAAAAGATTGCTGTGTGTTGCCCTTAGAAGAGCACCTGGCTCAGAGAAAATGTATGAGAGTGTTATCTGTTACTATGACCTTTAAAGAATCCTTAATCAGACCAAGAGCTTTTGGAAGAGAGTGGCAGTTGGGAGCAGTAACCATGTCCACACTCATTGGCTTACCAGAACCCTCGTGCTCGTACACACAGTTTTCTGTCCCTGAACACATAATCCCAGCTTTTCCTGCTTCTTCCTGTTGGAAAATAAGTGAAGCTTTCCATAAATAATGGGGGTGGAGGAGAGAGGCCATCTGGCCCCAGCCTCTATCCACACAGAATGGTAAAAAGGTGCCCAGGTGTTACCTGTCTTCTCATCATTTTTCTGAGATGCTGCAAGAGTCAGCTGTGAGCCATATGTGCAATCATCTCCTAAGCCAAAAGGAGAGAAAGCAAAGCAGGGTTCGGAAGCCAGAGCAGTCCAAATGGCAGTTCGCCCACTCACTGTCCTCCCCAGGCCCTTCCCTCCACACTTGCTCCCTGCTCTGAGTCACACTTTATATTTCCTTTGTGACAAGCCCATTTGGTTTTCTTCTTAAAGGTTGGCAGTGCAGCATCTTCTGAGACACCAAAACCTGAGTAAGGCCCCAGGAAGAGGCGGCCTCACCTTGTAGGTGACCTCCTGCAAGACTTCAAGTGTGTGTGTGTGTGTGTGTGTGTGTGTGTGTGTGTGTGTGTGTATCTACAACTGGTCTACCCCAGCCCAGCTCTCTACTTGCCTGCACTCTCTGGGGCAGACAGCAGATAACCGTTTAATAAATTGGCTTGAAAAGTTTATTTAAAGGGAAAACTTAATTGTATTCTATTTCAGGGAGGTGTGAAGATGTTCCAGCGGCTTGGTTGTGGCATATGCACACTGTCAGAAGCCATCCTAAGGATGTTCCTGCACTTTGATGGGAGCCAGGGAGCCAGCTGTCATTGGAGGGATGTGTGGCAGGAGTCACTGTGTAGATCATAATCTTACTGGTAGAGCAGGAGCTTCTGGACTCTCACATGTGCCATTCTTAGCACAGTTGCAAACAAGACCTTGGCTTTCTTCTATCCTTGATATTTCCTTTCCCGCCTCCACAAAAAAATTGCAAACCAAGCCATGGTGGCCAAGTTAATATGGCAGGAAATACAGTGCCTACAAATGTGGCTTCCAAGGTCAGTATACCTGAGTTTCAATCCTGGGTTTTCTATATACTAAGCATATTATGTTAGGCAAATTACTTAAACTCTTGGTACCTCAGTTTCCTCATCTATAAAACGAGTATAATAGAACATACCTCATAGGGTTGTTGGAAAGATTGAATGGATTAGCACATGTGAGCACTTTCAACAGTGCCTATTGCATAGCAAATACAGAATACATGTTAGCAACTATTGTTTACTCAAAAAATTATTACCCTAGCCAAGTATCTCATACCCTAAGTGTATTAGGCCATTCTTGCATTGCTATAAAGAAAAACCTGAAACTGAATAATTTATAAAGCAAAAATGTTTATTTGGATTCACATTCTGCAGTCTGCACAGAAAGCATCGTGCTAACATCTGCTTGGCTTATGGGGAGGCCTCAGGAAGCTTACAATCATGGTGAAACGTGAAGGGGAGCAGACACATCACATAATGAAAGCAGAGCGAGAGAGAGAGAGAGAGAGAGAGAGAGCGAGAGAGAGAGAGAGAGAGAGAGAGAGAGAGAGAGAGAGAGCGAGAGAGAGAGAGAGAGAGAGACAGGGAGGAGGTGCCACACACTCTCAAACGACTAGATCTCATGAGAACTCACTATCGTAAAGACAGCACCAAGCCATGCATGTTCACCCCATGATCTAGACACCTCCCACCAGGCCCCACGTGCAGCACTGGGCATTACAATTCAACCTGAAATTTAACCAGGGACAGATATCCAAACCATATCACTAAGTATGGTAGCCAGCCTCCAGTATGTCCCCCAGTGTTTCTCATCTCCTGTCATTCATGCTCTTGACCCTCAAGAGCTTCTGGACTCTCACATGTGCTCTCTTGCTCATACAAGACCTTGACTCTTTTCTATCCTTGATGTTTCCATTCCCACCCCCACAAAACAATTGTAAAACAAGCCATGGTGGCAGAGCTTAATATAACCAAAAGGCAGGAAATAGTTCCTTCCACATTGAATAGTGCTACTACGCAACCAATAGCACACTGAAGAAATGGTGGAGTGTGACTTCTGAGGGTCGGTTGCAGAGTCACTGCAGCTTCCACCTTGTGCTCTCTGGGATCACTTACTTTGGTTCACTTGCCGGCTGCTATGGTGTGAGGAGACTCAAGCAGCACTGTGGAGTGGCTCATGTAGGGAACTGAAACCACCTGCAAACAGTCAAATTAACTCTGGTAACAACCAGAATGACTTAGCCACCCTCCATGTGACTAAGCCACCTTGAAAGTGGATCCTCCAGCCCCAGTCCAGCCTTCAGATGACTCCAGCCTCAGCTAACATTTTGATTGCAACATGGTGAGAGACCCTGAGCCAGAACCATCAAGCTAATAGCAATAGATACATTGGGCTTTGCACATTTAGAGGTGGAGGGGCAGGGCCAGAATCAGCAGGGCTGACTTTATAAACCAGACACCCATGTGTTCACTTCCACCCACAGGTATGCAGAGAGTGGGCATTTCAGTGGGGTTCTGAGGTGCCCCAGTGGGCTGTGGGAGACAGAAAGAAATTCAAGGAAAATTCATGCCAGAGGCTTTCTGTGGTTTTGCACCTCGCCCTTCCCATACCTTTCCTCCTCATCTCCCAGGCATTCACTGTAAACAGACATTAGGAGGGTCAAGTGGGGAAGATGTGTATGGCATCAAAGCCAGCACTGTGTCCTAGTGGGCATGGCCTCGTCCAGGCTTAGATGAGTTCTTAGGGGGACCACAAGAGAGAGACCTGCTGAGGTTGCAAAGGCATCTTCTGGGTGATAGCATAATCAGGGATGAGGGTGGAGGGATGGGATTGATCATGGGAAAGGCGTCTTAGCCTGATCACATTCTCCAAAAGTGGCACCTTTTCAACAATTGTTCACCGTATGTTTACTTACTAGTGCTTACAGCCATGCAGGAGGATGTGAAAACAAGTGCCTCATTAATGTGCAATTGAAACATCAGCAGCCAGACCGGGAGACCCATTAAGAAGGTAAGCAAATGCTGGCTGCTTTTCTTGTGCCTCCCTCCTTCCCCTGTTCCTGATTTTGGAACATGGTTCTTTCTGCCGCTGGGACCCCCTGGCACATCCTCCTGCTGAATCCTACAGCCATTTTGCAGGCACTCTGAAAGCTTCATCTAAACACCTATGGGGAGAAACCAGCCATGGTGAGGACTCCCCAAGGCCACCCAGGGAAACTTCATTCAGAGAAAACAGGAGACATTCCGAGTGTTGGACTGGAACAATAAACTTCTCAACGTCAAAGAAGCCCTGCTTCTCTTTGTACTCACCATGGGCTTGGGAGAGCCCTCCATCCCTCACCCGGGAGGGGAGTGTGGCAGATTGTTGGGTAGGTGATGACGGATAGCACCAAGACAGGAATCACTGCCTTGCGCCTGTGGCCAGGTGCTCTTGTCTCTGGCTTACCAGCTCTCAACAACATCACTTACAACAGAGCAAAGACCAAAGCTGGGCTGCATCCCCATCTCCACTCTACATTTTCTCAATGCTAGTGACAGGAGCATCCTGTTTCTGGATGTCACTTTAGTACTAAAAGGAGGCTTTTAGTGTGTTTCTGCTGCACCCAGTCTCTCTTGTCATGGCAGAACAGAGGAGGAATTTCACTAGGTATATAGGCCTTCTTCAAAGAGGTCATAACACCCCAGGAACTCACCCACCATAACAGAACACAGCAGGTACTACTTGACCGACTTGAGCAGGGGGAGCAAGGTGCTTTGGGGGTAGATGGACAGGAGTGATCGATTCTGCTTGGGGATAAGAGAGAAAGGGAAGTGTTTTCAAAACGTAATCTGGATCATACTGTGAACACTGTTGTTTTATCTTACACTGAACTTAATTTTGTAAGTCCATATTCTCTTAAGTTTTATTGAAAGTATCAAGCAGAAGCTATCCAAAAATTTTGTTTCCTTAGATAAATGTTTTTCAAAATATTGATTTTTTTCCCCCTGCATCTTCAGTTATGTTCTTCTCTTAAGCTACAGGCCCATCTTTTCTTCTTTATACTCAATCAATCGCTCCATATTCTTTCTTGCCCTCTCTTTCACTTCCTTCCCCTCCTTTCCTCTTTTCTTCTCCCCTCCACCTCCTCCTCCTTCTTCATCTGTGAACAAAGAAGGACTCTATCTATGTCTAGTGTTTGCCTCTAAACACCACTGGTAGACTTTCCCTGGCCCCTTCATGTAATGGTTATCTTGCTTTGTGATAAACCATTTTTTCCAGAGCTTGTGGGAGATTGGTTATCAGCTAGCTTTGCTGTGTAACAAATCACCCAGATCTCAGTGGCTTAAGATATCCATGGTTAATTGTTGCTCATGTCTTGGGTCTACTGAGATTTGGCTGAGGTAGGCTGGGCTCAGCTGACGCTCTGCTTCAGGCATCGTGGCAGTTGTTTCCCATTGCAGCTCTGAGGGTTGGTTGGGGCAACCCTACATCACACAGGTTTCATTCTTTGACCAGCACACTGAACTGGGCGTGCTTATCATAGTCTAATGACAACAGAGGTATCAAATAGCAAGTTAAAACATGAGTCTAGGGTGAGAGTGGCACACTGTCACTTTCACCTCTATATAATTATCCAAAACAAGTGACATGGCCAAGCCCAAATTCAAGAAGCATGAAACTCCATTCTGCCATTCTGCCCACGGAGATACTGGGAGAGCTATAGAGCCTCTAGGAAAGGATGCATACAGAGTGGGGTAAGGAATTAAGGACAATAATGCAATCACCCACAGTGGTTCCAAGAGAAATAAGAGATCTAGTGACTTGGAGTCTGCCTTCAATGGGTCAAGAAAAAAGACTGAGAAGGGATTCTTCAAGAGAAGGAAGTGTCCAAGACTGGAGTGAAATGCAGTCCAGCCTAGCATTGCTTGTCTACTTGCTCCAGGCTTCACTGATTCTCCCAGGAGCTGCTCAGAGCCTGCTCCAATCAGAATCTCCTGGTGTAAGCCCATTGCCAATCTACTAATTCTTTCTTTCTTCTGGAGTCTTGCAGAGAAAACCCATACAGAATGGTTGATTTCCAAGCTAGCCACACAAGCCAAGTAGAACCCTCGGTTTGCATGTGGATCAGCTCTTATATGACTAAGTGCATTTGCAAACTGCAAGGATATGCTAACCAACCGGTTCTCATGAACAACTCCCTAATGAGTTCATCATGGCAACGAGCAGAACATTTGTACAGAATAAAAAATAGTCTCCTCAAAGGACAGAGGCCAGCCTCCATTCTGTATTCAAGGGCTTGGTCTCAAGTCCCCATTGTCTCTGAAAATGTCATTCATTATTTGCTTGGGACTCAAAGACTTTCTTTAAAGAAAACCACATTTAATGCAAATAGTGTGTTCTACCTACTTAGGAAGTCATGGAGGTATTGTGATAAAAGGAAAAGTAGAGATTTTCTAGTCCAAAGGTTGGCAAACCTCTCTGGAAAGGGCCAGAGAGTAAAAATTTTAGGATTTATGGACCATGCAATCTTTGCTGCAGGGACTCAGCTCTTGCCATTATAGCATAAAAACTGCTGTAGACAACATTTAAACAAATGAGCATGGCTATGCTCAATGAAACTTTGTTTACAAAAATAACTGGCAGGTCAAATTTGATCCACTGGCAGAGCTATCATTGACTAAACTCTGCTGTGATCTAACCTCCCATTTACAGATTCGTCAGCTGAGAACATTTAGGCACCTCGTCCTGCCATCACTGAATCTGGCACACACCTGCACGGTGGCAATGGTCTTTTGGTACTGTGCTTCTTTGCAAGGCTCTGCCAGCCTGTGAGGCCCCAGGATGAGTGTACTGAGGGGTTGGTTCCCAGGCTTTGATGGTTGTGAAACAATTAAAATACCACCCTTACTTGTTTATATTCAAGGCATCCTACAAGACAAATATTCTTGGCATTGGAGACCTTGAGTCATCCATCTTGTAACCCCAGTGACTTCCCAGCTCAGCCTCTGGTACATAGCAAGGGCACAGAATGAATGAATGAGGCCCAGATAGCAAGAGTGACTTGACCAAGGTGCCAGTGTCTGATTAGCAGCAGCACAGGGACCAGAATCCAGGAGATGACATGACAGGGTAATCTGTCCTCATGCAGAGCAGTCTGCTATTGGTTGGATAAAGGGTTGAATAATTGCAAGAATATGAGTTAATTCATCAACACCTACCAAAAGCACCTGCAAGTTGGGAGTCCTAAGCTAAATGCTGCCGGCAGGGAAGGGCTAACCTGCAAGGAGGCTGCAGTGCTGGAGGAGACACACATGCAAATAGCTCTAAGTCTAGTGCTCATTTCTAGCTATAGAATAGATTCTGGAAGAATACCATTTACTTTCTACTTCTCTCTGCCTTGTTCTCCACTATATGTACACAGTAAGTCCTTGCTTCACATTGTCAACAGGTTGTTGGAAACTGCAACTTTAAGCAAAACTATGCACAGTGGATCTTCAAATAACATTGTTTCTTCTTTTCGTTGTAATGTTGAGGAAAAAACTGGCTTTGTTGTTTCACTTGAAGTTTGCATTTTCAAGAATCTACTGATGATGTTAAATGAGTATTTACTGTAATTACATACACACTGCAAACACACCACACACTGAACACACACCACACACACACCACACATACCGCAAACACACACCACACACTGCACACACACCACACACTGAACACACACCACACGCATGCACTGTACACACACACCACACACTGCACACACACCACACACACACCACACATACCACAAACACACACCACACACATGCACTGTACTCACACACACCACACACTGCACACACACCACACACATGCACTGTACTCACACACCACACACTGCACACACACCACACACACCACACACTGAACACACACCACATGCATGCACTGTACACACACACCACACACTGCACACATACCACACACACACCACACATACCACAAACACACACCACACACTGCACACACACCACACACACGCACTGTACATACACACACCACACACTGCACACACACCACACACTGCACACACACCACACACATGCACTGTACTCACACACCACACACTGCACATATACCACACATATCACAAACACACACCACACACACCATACACACACCACACACTGCACACATACCACACATACTGCAAACACACACCACACACTGCACACACACCACACATACCACACACTGCACACACACCACACACACACCACACATACCACAAACACACACCACACACTGCACACACACCACAAACATGCACTGTACACACACACACCACACACTGCACACACACCACACACTGCACACACACCACACACATGCACTGTACTCACACACCACACACTGCACATATACCACACATACCACAAACACACACCACACACACCATACACACACCACACACTGCACACATACCACACATACTGCAAACACACACCACACACTGCACACACACCACACACACCACACATACTGCAAACACACACCACACACTGCACACACACCACATACCTCAAACACACACCAAACATTGCACACACACACCGCATACCAAACACACACCACACACACCATGCACCACACACACCACACAACACAAACACACACCATGCACCCACACACCACACACCGCAAACACACACCACACACACCATGCACCACACACACCACACACACCATGCCCCACACACACCATGCACCACACACACCACACAAACATTGCACACACACCACACACGAAACACACACTGCACACACACACCACACACACTGTGCACCACACACCCCACACACACGCCACACATCATACACACCACACACCACAACAGACTGTACACCACACACAATCACACCACACACCACACATGCACTGCACATCATACACAATCACACCACACACCACATACACACTGTACACCACACACAATCACACCACACACCACATACACTGTACACCACACATACAACCACACCACACACATGCTGTACACCACACATACACACCACGTACTACATTACATACACCACACACACACCACATACACACTATACACCACACATACAACCACACCACACACACTCACCAAAACCACATACACTGTACACACACATACACACACACCACACACCAAATACACCACACACACACACACACAGACGAACCACTGTACCCCACACACCACACACAAACACACCACACACCACACCACACACACACACACACACACACACTCATGCACAGAGGAAGATTGTCATTGAAGAGTATAGTGTCCAGCTCAGGTTCTTGACCTAGAGTTTTGGGAATAACCCC